GATATGAGTAGGTGTTTACTTAGATCTTTATGATAGTTTTCCACTGGCAATTTTACCACAGAAGTAGAATAAAACCTTGAAATTATGTTTCTTTGTACCACCCCAACAATTTAAGAGGCCCCATCTGGCCAACCCTATGAAACATTTCTAGAGGCGCCCCTGTGCTTTAGACAAATAATTTTCACTTGATTTATTCTGGGTGATATCGGTATTTATTCTTGATTTTTAAACAAAATCAAGCACACCTCACTTACTTGGCTAGCTAACAGCTAATATTGCACAGGTCACTATATTAGAGACATTTTCAATGCTTTAAAAAAGTCTCTATCATCTTTTAAAGTGTCAATTATTGACAGTAGAAGAGAAAATGCCTTGTTGTTGCGTCTAAATCCAGACATTTAAGTTATATTCTTGGAAAAAAAAAACTTTATATAATGTTAAGTTTACACTCAGTATAATTTTCTAAACTATGAATAGCGTTTAAACAATTCTAACTTTCTCACATATAAAAAAACAACTATTATTTTATTATTTTATCTGTCCTGAATGGATCTATACTGATAATAGATATATTTGCTTTGTACCTTTTTAAGGAACCATCATCTACTGTGTTTGTGTAATGCTCCCCAATGTTTGGTTATGTTGTTTCTATGTGACGCCATCTACTGGTATCCCATCCATATGGCACATTTTGCTTTAAAGGGGTCAGAATGCAAAACAGAGTTTACATTGTCATAGGTGAGTAACTATAGTTCAGTGGGTGAAATGGACGTACAGAGAAGGTCAAACCCCATCCACACCTCCTTTCTCTGCAAATCTCCCTATTCTAAGCTTCAACCATAACACGGGTGAATCTAAACGAAGCCCCAAACTGACGTAAACTCTGGGATGTTGCCTTATTTAGTTCTGGCCTGTACTTTTGTCACACCCCAAAATATACATACAGACCAGCCCACTGTTCACTGGGGGGAGGGGGTATGAAGTGTCAACTTCTGGGCCCCTGACTGGACCGGACATCAGCAGAGAGTCTTGAGCCACCCGTCCTCAGCCAGAGGATGGGGGCTGGGAGCCAGTAAGGCAGGCAGGGGGAAGCATGGTGCCGCCTGTGACCAGGCTACCAT